CCCTTTAGCCGCCGACAGCTCCCCGTGCGCGATGGCTTGAAACCCTGGGAAGAGGGCGTCTAGGCCTGGCCGGTCCGAAAGCCCTGCCAGAACTCGACACGTCCAGCCAACCAGGGCGGAATGGCTCGGTGATTCCGCATGGGAGGAGGAGAGGAAGAGGAGAGGAGAAGAGGAAGAGGGAGAGAGAGGGAGGAGGAGACAGACCAGCACAACTAAAACTGCATCGATATTTAGTCCCACTATGTGGGATGGCGGATAAGGCCACGGCCGAGGGTACAACTGGACAGGCGGAAAAGTTGTACTCGCCGCGCTGTTCTCCTAAGTACTGGCGAAAATCCAACCAGAAAGCGGGAAACGTTTTCCGGCCACCTGGCCCCCTGGGCCCCGCGCGATGCAATGCAGACATGCACGTGCAACCTTTCACAAACATCAAACATGCGGTCCCTGCCACGCCGCGGCGACTATGGCAGCCAGCGCTGGGTGCGCAGCGCAGGCCTCCCGTCCATACTGCCACCAAGCGCCAGCCGCATCCGCTGTAGAATTGTGACGGGCCGCGCAGGAAGCAGCGTATGTACAATAGGCTGCCAAGGCGCGGCGAGCTAACAGAGGGGCCGTGTCCTCCGAAAACGTGGGCTCCAGAGCAATAAAACACGAAAGCCTAGCCGCCGGGGAGGGGCGGGGTAGCCGCAAGTGCCTGTATCCTAACTCCGCCACACACGGGCACTGCGCAAAGTGCTGTAGATTCTCCTCGCCGCGAGGACAGCCAAAGGGGCAAGGCGCCCATCGCCCGAATCGGCGTGCGGTCTGCCAGCTGTCACACATGGCCCTGTACAGAGATGCCCAATCCCGGGGCGGTACGGCTTGCGCAAGACCGCGCAAGGCCGCCAGCGCGCGAGGAAGGCGACGACCAGGAAGGAGGTGGAGGGGGAAGCGGCAGAGGGAGCGAGAAAGCTCACGCGTGGTGCTCACCGGGCTCGGCTGTGTCAGCAGCTGGCGGCAGCGCCGTTGCCACTGCGACCGGGGCGTCGGGGTTGTCGAAGCACCTTGGACCATGAGAGCGACGGAGAGGCCGGTCCCCACGGTACAGGCCTCGAGGCGGGACTGCGCAATCTCTAGGTTCTCGATGAAGTTGCCACTGTACCACGCACTCCATGTAGCCAACTGCTGTAAGTTGCTCGAGTTACTAATTTTGTCCAGCAGCAGGCGCCGCCGGCGCGGGATCTGCAGGCCCCCAGTGGCGTCGGCCTCCCAGCGGTGCACCCTGCACTTGGCCGCAAGGGAGGTGGCGTGTGCATGGGGCAGTTGCGAAGGGAAGCCCAACGAGCACAGGTCCCGCAAAGCGGCCGGTGAGGTCCAGCAGCGTGGCCCCGGGAACAGCAGCGCGCATGCCTTCTGTTCATGCTCAGCCCAGTCTGGCGGCAGCCGGTCCAGCTGCATGACGAAGCAGAGGACGGGGAATATGTAGACGCGGTATGCGAGGAGGGTGATAAACATGCCGCCGCCCACGGCTCGCCATGTCCTTGCCCGTGAGATATACTTCTGCAGCGGCTTCGTCCAGGACAACTGCGCGCGCTCGGGCCCCACCTCGAAACCCAAGTACGTGGCGTGCCGGCGTGCCGCGAACTCCCCCCAGGCGGGGGCAGCTGCCTGCAGGCGAGCCCGGACAACGTCTACCGGCGTTAAGGAGAGCGGCACCCAGACGCTTTTCCCCCTGTGTAGCCCCAGACCAGACAGCCGCTCATACTCGTCGAAAGCGTGTTCGAGAACGGACGCGTCCCGCGTGCTGTGGGCAAGGGCCACCGCGAGGTCGTCGGCGTAGGCGCGCTGGTTAGACTCCGGCACCAAGCGGGGCAGCCGACGAAGCAAAACGTCCGAGAGCACAGCGAAAAGGAAAGGCGAAAGAGGGCAACCCTGCCGAACCCTGGCGGCGAGCTCGAAGCCGTCGAATTTGGCGCCCTGGACAATAATCCGGCACCAATTGCGGAGGTACAAAGCCTTGACCAGGGTGACGCACCACTCCGGCCAGCCGCGGGCCACAAGCACGTCCATGAGGAACTCCTGCTGGGATGGCCGAGAGAGTTGTTGTAGCATGTAGCACATATAGTCAACGTGAGAGGTACTAATATATACGATAACATGTTGCTATTAACAACTTAACACTATACATATACATACTTAATAGCCAACTTAGTAAGTCAAATAAGTCGAGGTGTTTGTTCGGGCGTCCTGTTTTTGCCCCGGCGCCACGATGTTTGCTTGGCGTCGCCTGCTGGTCGGACCTGCGTTTTTGTTGCTCTGTGCTTGTTTTCTGTGCGCGTTTGTTTGATGAAGACGTTGCGCGTTGTTCAGGTGCCGCCTAAAAAAAAACAACTTCTCCTCCTCCCCCTCCTCCCCCCGCCCCCCCGCCGCCCCCCCTGCTCCTCGTCGTAACCCCTCTTCGGCGGATTACCCGCCTTCCCTCCTCTCTTTTGCATGCGCTGGCGGATCAACCGCTTTCTCTTTCGGCGGATCAACCGCCTTCTCTTTCATTCCCCCCCTCTTCTCGGCGGGTCAAACGCCTCGTTCTGCGGATCAGCCGCGCCCCCCTTTCTTTGCGGATAAACCGCGCGCCCCCCCTCTCTCGATTCTGCGGATAAGCCGCATTCTTTTCTCCCTCGGCGGATCACTCGCCTCCTTCCTCTTCTCCGCCCCGCGCGCCCGCAGCCTTTTTATTGCAGCCTTGTCGGCCCGAGCTGCCGCGGGGCCGCGGCGCGTCTTGCTGCTGCGCTGCCTGCCCGACAATGGCGCTCCAGCAGGAGCTCCTTCAGCGCGCCGAGGCGACGGGCCCCTCACTGCGCGCTGCCAAGGGCCAGGGAGAGGCCGCGTGGAGGCAGGCGTCGAGTACACAGGCTGCTCGGCTGGTCGAGCTCGTCGGACTGGTGCGCCCGCAGGGCCACTTGCTCATTCGCCTCGCGGGTTTGGCGCAGCAAGAACAGCTTCGCGAGCCATGTCGCAGATATTGGATTTTCAGAACGCCATGGCCAACATTCGCACAGGCAGAATATGGCAGCGTGCGGAGACGTGGAATATGTGGCCGTTCGCGCGTTTCCCGTTACCTCATGAGTGGTGAAAAACCCAGCAAAAGAAAAAAAAAAATGGAAAAAAGAATAAAGAAAATAAAAAAAACAAAAAAATAAAAAATTGAAAGAAAACCCCAGTTAAACCCCCCCTCCCCGACCCTCCTCCCAACCCGCCCCCCTCATCACGCCGCTCCCCCTAGTGAGTTTCCTATGCACACCTGCCCCCCAACCAAAAGACATCGCGTCAACAGAGCTGTGGACCTATGCACAAGGCTCGCACCGTTCTGTCGTTTCTCTCGACGAAGCTGGGCCTCACGAGCCCGTCAGAAGGCACCTACGCGCATTTGACGGCCCTCGTGACGATCTGCGTAGAGGGTGCCCCGACGGCCCGCAGCATGAGCCCCCACTTCTTGAAATACACTTTTGACCACATCAAGACGGTGTGGAAAGGCTTGGTCAAGGCAGAGCCCTTGGAGAAGATGGTCTCGCTCCCCGCTGACCCCAACGCGTTCCGAGCTGCGTTCCCCGCCACGTGGGTCGCTGCGTGCGGCGACGGTGGCCCTGCAAGCATCGGGGTGTCTTACGTCGATGTCTCTGTGGTGGCTAAGGCGTTCAAGTGGCGGGACAGGCAAACTGGCCCCGCCTCGTCGCCCATGTTGCAGGCTATGCAGCAGCTGATGGGGCAGACGCTGCAGCACTCTCAGCAAGAGAGGCTCGCGAACGGTTCGATGTTGACGTTCACAAAGAAGCAGCCGCGCAGCCTCGCTGGCGTGCAATCGGCGGCGACGTCGGCCGCAGGGCAGCTCGCGTTGACGGACTTCCAGCATCAGCAGCAGCAGCAGCAGCTGCAGCAACAGCAGCAGATGCAGCTGCAGCAGCAACAAGACAACCACAACCTGCAGCTGCAGGTCAAGCAGCTCCAGGAGCAGCTGCAGCAGCAGCAGCCGCCGCCGCAGCCTCAGCCCCAGCTCGCCCTCAGGGACGGCCACTCGGCGGATGTCTCTGGGGGGGCTGCGACGACAAAGAAGGCGAAGAAGATTGACTCGGTGGAAGCCGCGGCAATGCACGTGCACGCTGCCATGCAGCAGGAGAAGGAGACCAAGGCCCAGGCGAAGGGCAAGGCCCAGCCCAAGGCCAAGGCAAAGACGAAGTGCGTGAAGAAGCCAGCGGCGGCCTTTGCTGGCAAGCCTGCGGTGGAGACCAAAATCAGCGTCGAGAACACGCGCAGCCAGTGCGTCGCGCACTACGGGAGGGGCCCTGGCTCGACCAAGGCGTTCAAGTGGGGCCCGAACACAGGCTACACGAAGGAGACGGCCAAGAAGGCTGCCGAGCAATGGATCAATAATCGGATTTGCATCGGCAGCTGAGGGGGCGACGGCTACGCGTAGCTGTCGGCGCGGAGTGCCAGCGCGCATGTCAGCGCAGCCGTGCCGACGGGTGGCCGTCGGCATGGGCACTTTGCCATGTCGTGGGTAGTGCTACGGATGGCATCGGCTTTCAGTTTCTCTGTCTGGTGCGCGTTGCGCGTGCTCGTGATGGAGCTCGTTCTTCGGTGAACTCTTTTGGACCTCTATTCGCACCACTGCTTTGCGAGAAAAGGCGTTGGAAAAAAAGCGGATCAACCGCTATCAGCGGATCGCCCGCTACGTGCCATGTTGCGTCAGGTCGTCGTTCGTCGATAGCGTTTGCGTGTTGCGGCAGTGGCAGGGAGGTATGAGCAGGCATCTGGAGGGATGGCATGGTCAGAGTTCAGAGGGATGAGAACGAGGAGGGATCGGAGACCTGAGATTTTTATAGGTTGAGTCCGGTGGGCGGAGATGGCGCCGGGGTTGAGTTGTGCATTTCGAGGCGGGCTGGGGGGGTAGGGGCGTTCATTTCTTTTCGATGCCGTAGCCGTTTGGGCCCAGGGTTGCGCGCTCGCGACGGGCTCGCAGGGGCGCCATGGCGGCGCCGAAGAAGTCTGCATTCGAAGACCTCCAGAGCTTCTTCGAAGAGGCCGACGGTGCGTTCGATAAGATGGACGTCGAGCGGACGCAAATGATCGGCTGCCTCAGGAAGGCGCTCGAGGCATCTGGCACCGTGAGGCCTGTCCGCGGGAGCCCGTGGGAGGAGCCTGCAGTTTCGAGCTCCTCTGCGTCGGCGACTCTGGAGGTGGAGGTCGGCAGTTCGGAGGTCGGCCGCACCCAGGTCGACCATGCTGCTCTGGGGCGCGCTGTCGACGAAGTTCTGGGTGACAGGGCAGGCGACGCGGACGATCAGGTCCTTCCAGAAGGCGCGGCAGGACGCGTCCAGCAGTTCATGAACGCGGATCCTGACTTCGCTCGGATTGCCCTGCTCATGGCAATGGACCCGCTCGCCGTGGACTGGAACGATCCCGCCGTCATCAACGTCGAGAAGGCGTTGGTCTTGGAGTTCAAGTGCCACAAGAAGTTCAAGGCACGGGGCCCTCCTGGCCCGCTCCAGGGGGGGCCCAAGGAGTGGAGGGGCCAAGCCTGGAGGGCGAAGAGCGGTCGGTGGGGCCCCCGTGGCGGCCGCAGCATGCGGTTGGCAGAGTTCCAGGCGAAGTTCGGCAAGGAGCGAGGCGCGCAAGCATTCCTCGAGGACGAGGACCGACGCCGCAGCTTGCGGCTAGAAACCTTCTTTGCGAAGTTCGGCAAGGAGCGAGGCGCCGAGGCCTTCCAGGAGGACGAGGCCGCGCGCTCGAGCAATTGCAAGGGGATCGCGCGCATGATGGCGGTCGGCCGCCCAAAGCCCCAGCAACCCATTGTGGCGTCGCCGACGTTCGTGCCTCCAGCTTACAAGGCCAGGCCGACGCCCAAGATGATGCCGCCAACCGCCCTGCCGATCGCGCGCACCGCGGACGCAGGAAAGGGCTCGGGCGAGCGGGCTGCCAAGGGCGAGAACAAGCGCGCCAGGGAGGGCAAGGGCGATGGCGAGCAAGGCAAGGGCACCTACAAGGACGCGGACAATGGCAAGGGCAAGGGCGCGGATCAGGACAAAGGCAAGGGCGCCCGCAAGGACGCGGGCAACGGCAAGGGCGCCCACAAGGACGCGGTCAAGAGCAAGGGCAAGCACGGCGAGGGTTTCCTCTCCCCCACGCCCAAGCGCCCAGCGCCTCGGACGCCGTCGCCTGCTCGCGGGCCTAAGCGGCGGGCGACGAATCCACAGGGCGCCAGCGAGGGCAGGCCGTTGCCCTTTCTGTGGCGCGCACTGTGGCGCTTGGAAAAAAAGATGAGTCCTCTTCGGCGGCTCAACCGCCCTGGCGGCTTATCCGCCTGCGTGTGCACGTGTGTCAGCGCGCGCGCGCCCAGCATCTCGTCGCACGTAGTTCGAACATGCAGCCGCGCAGCTTTTGTTCCGCATAGGCGTCTTGGCTCAAGCAGCGCTTTGCACATCGCCTGTTGCCCCCTTTCTGCCCGTCTCCATGTCGGCAGCTGCGTCGGCCACGGCCGCCGAGATTGCGGGCGCAGTGCAAGCGGACGACGATGCGAGCCCGACGTGGACTGTGCGGGGTGGCAAGTGCCCCTTCGGCTCGCAGCGCAGCAAGCATAGCTCGACCATCAAGAACTGCAACTCGTACGAGGAGGCCGTCGCGTCGGCGATCCATCACTTGGAAACTTCACCTTACCACGGGCTCGAGCGGCACGAGGCCGAAATGGCCGTCGATTACTCCTTGATCGAGCCCTGGGACGTCGACAGGAAGCAGTGGGCAAACGACGCCGCCAAGTGGGAGCCTGGCAAGAAGCGCAAGCCCCATCAGCAGCTGCAGTGGCATCCCACCGAAGATCGCGTGGGTCTCAGCGCACCGCCGACGGGTGCTGGCACGGGTCGGATCACGCTCTCAGAGATGCAGTTGCGGGCATGCGTCGACTCGCTGAGGCGCGCCAAGGTCTCGGCGGAGAGCGCGGCGAACCTGTGCGCCAAAGCTTCTCGTGCTTTCAACGAGGAGGTCACGTGCATCCAGCAGTGCGTCGAGGTGATCGAGTCGCACGTTCAGCCTACGCGCGTGATCAACATCAGGTAGTCGAGATGCTGCTGGTGAACCCCTGAGTTTTGGCCACGCGCGTCGGCCCCTCGCTTCGCGCGCTCGCGTCGGGCGCACTCTGCGGACGGCAATCGATCGCCAGATGCACCAGCAGACGTTCGCACCATCGTCTATGCGCTCATCGTTCTGGATCGTTGTCAAGGGCGGTTCGCCCGCTAATCGGCGGATCATCCGCCACGAACCGATAACAACCGATAACGACCGATAACGTTTCGATAACGGTGTTATCGGAGCGCCCAATAACAACCGATAGCGCCGATCACACTTTGTTATCGGCAGCGCCAACAGAGCCGATAACATCGAAATAATGCCCGATAAAGCCCGATTGCGCCCATAACGGTTACCGGAGCCGAAAATGGCTCCGATAACGTTGCTATCGGATGTGATCGGTGACTGTTATTGATGTTATCGTGCGTTAGCGTGACCTCCGATACCGTTATCGAACTGTTATCGGATGTTATCGGGTGCTATCGGATGTTATCGGTATTCCTTCGCGGTTTCAATCATCTTGCCCCCCCCCCATCCTCGATCTCCAACCTCAGCCACCCTGAACCGCAAGCCGCCTCCGCCTCCTTCGCGATTCCATTCGCAGCCGTTTTGCTTGGCAGCGCGCGCAGGCTTCTGCCCCCCGTGCCCACTCTCGCCTCTCGCGGCGCACATGTCGTTGCAGTTGGCGCTGATGCCGCCGCCTGCCGCGGACCCCGCCCCCAAGGCCAAGGCCAAGCCCACGGCCGAGGGCAAGGCCAAGGGCAAGGCCAAGGACATCGCGATGGCGACCGACGCCACGAAAGCTCGGTGGCCGAAGTACAAGCGCCAGAGTCGGTTGCCTCTGACTCGGAGACTGTCGTTAGCTTGACGGCGACGGCGTTGGCGCTCGGGGCTCCCGCCGAGGTGGCCGACTTGGGTGACTTCGAGGGCGGGGCGCCCGATGGCGACGACGCTGCCTCGTCTGGGGCTGCTGTCTCTTCCGAGGTGCCCCCCGTCGGAGGCGAAGCCCCTGCGGCCCCTGCCCCTGCCGCAAACATTGGTTCCGCGACGGCGGCGTCAGAAACTGGTTCCGCGACGGAGGCGCCAGGCAACGGTCCCGTGTCCAAGAACGAGCGCTTCGTCTGGCAGGCTCCAGAGGTCAGGCACCAGCCGTCAAACCCAACGTGCTACAGGTGCAAGCAAGAGGTCGATGTCCTGAGGGCACCAGTGGTGGGGAAATCCAGCGGCTCGTGGAAGTGCGACTAGTGCAACACGCGCGGGGCGCAGTTGAGCCGCTGGTTTGGATCGTGGCCGCCCGCCAGCTTTAGGAGGCTGGGCCCCTCAGTGCATGCGAAGTTCTGGCAGGGCGCAAAGGAGAAGGCTGGCAGGGACCAGCTTGAGGAGCTGTTCGTCCAGACTCTCACGACGACTCGGATCGAGCAGGAGGTTGCCCAAGTGGGCGGGGAGTATCTGCCGTTGTCAGTCTACGCCGCGCGTGGATTCGACGCTGACCGCATCGAGAGGGAGCGCAAGGACACCGAGGAGCACAATATTCTCGGAACTTGCTACCGCGTGGACACCAGGGGCGGCCACTCGAAGACAATCGAGCAGCTCGCCCGCGCCGAGTTGCAGGAGTTTCAAGCGAATGCCAGGGCGTTGGCTCCGCCGCCTCCGACGCAGCCGACGCAGCACAAGAGCGACTCGTCCGATTCGGATGGCGACTCGAGCAAGAAGAAGGACAAGAAGCCCAAGAAGGACAAGACATCTCACACGGATAAGAAGGGCAAGAAGTCGAATAAGTCCAAGAAGGACGATAAGAAGGACAAGAAGGCTAAGAAGGACAAGAAGCCCAAGAAGCGCGCAGCGTCCTCGAACTCGAACTCGGATTCGGACTCGAGTTCTGAAGATGAGAAGGCCCTGCAGGCGAAACAGAGGAAGCTCGAGCAAGAGAAGAACAAACTTGCCAATGAGAACGTGGCCCTCGCGACCCGCGTCTTGCTCAATATCGAGAAGCCCAGGATCTCTCTCGATCGAGACCTCAAGGACCCGATGCCGAAGCACGTGCCGAAGTACGGCATCGATCCAGCCAAGACTAGGCCCAAGGAGCTTGAGAAGCTTTACTCCGAGTTCAAGAAGGTCCACGACGAGCGTGGCATGGGGGGTGAGGTGAAGACAACGGTGACTGAAGTGGACGCTCTTGTGGAGAGTTCGGTCGAAGCTGCCGCGCTGCTTTCCAAGCTGCTGACCACTGCGAAGAACAATGTTCCGAACGGGGGTGCCATGTGAGCACATGGGCTCTGCTCGTCTGCGTCTCCAGACACCGCGGGGACAACTTGCCACGTGGTGCGCCGCCAGCTTTGGCTTCAGGATCCGCCCTGCCGACGCGGGGCTGCATGGATTCACCCAGCGTCCGATTGGCCCTTCACTTTGCCATGTCGTGGGTAGTGCTACGGATGGCATGCGAACCACCGAGTCCCGACTGCACAAGCTAGTCTTTAGGGGTTCGTAGGGGCGCAACGCGAGCTCGGGGTCACGCTCAGTTTGTAGCGCTCGGGGGTAACAACTTCAATGGACGGATGCGCCTCGGAAAAAATCATCGGGAAAAAAAGCGGATTAACCGCTCAGCGGATCATCCGCTAGTCATTTTGCTAGTCTTTTTAAGATGCAGCAGCGGTTCAACCGCTCAGCGGGCCTCTCTCTCACCCCCCGTACTTCCACGCCGCGCCTCTGTCTCCTGAGGGGGAGGGAGAGGAGACAGATGAGGAGGCGCAGTGGGAAGCGGCGGAGGAGGGCGAGGGGGGGGGGGAGGAGGATGAGAGGAGTTGGAGCAGGGATGTTTCAGGGGCCGCTGTGAGCAGGGATGTTCCAGGGGCCGCTGAAACATCCCTGGTCGCAGCGGCCCCAAGAACATCCCTGCTCCAACTCCTCCGCCTCCTCCCCCCCCACCCCCCCCTCCTCTTCCATCCTTCCCCTACCCTCCTCCTCCCTCCTCCTCCCTCCTCCTCCTCTCTCCTCTCGTTCGGAAACGGAGGAGGAGGGAGGGCGGGGGGGGGGGGGGGAGGGCCCTATCCCCACCCCCTCCCCTCGCCCCCCCTCCTCTTCCTGACGTTGCTGCTGCTGCTCCACCATCTCATCATCGCAGCCGTTTCAGCTTCGGGTGGTCGGCGCGCCGTCCCGCGCCCCACTTCCCCACCCCCAATTCGCCGCCTCCCCGCACGCCTTTGTAGGCCTGGAGCCGCGTCCCCCCCCGAAAAGACAGGATCGTCGATATGCTGAGCAGGGCGGAACTTTTTTTTTCTTTTTTTTTTTTTTTTTTTTTCTTTTTTTTTTTTTTTTTTTTTTTTTGTTTTTTTTATTTTCTTTTTTTTTTTTTTTTTTTTTATTTTTTTTTTTTTTTTTTTTTTTTTTTTCTTCTTTTTTTTTTTTTCTGGTTTTTTTTAGCGAGAGCGACGTCGTAGCGGCGCTTGCCGCGCTGGGGGGCGATGAAGCGGCGTCTCGGCGAGATGCGCGGGAGTGCGTGGATGCGTTCACTGAGGGCGTTCTCGTTCAGCAGGCCCTGCAAAAACGAGGCGGCGACGCCTTTGACTGGACCATTGCCAGGTATCAGCTTCTCCCCCCGACGTGCATTGCACAGTGCGCGAGCTTCAGGGGGGGGGTTTGAGAATGCAGTGGCGAAGTCGCCAAATAGTTTTGACAGGCCGTGGCGCCTGGCGCTCTACATAGATGACGTAGTACCTGGCGATGCTTTGAGATTGAACAACAAGCGAAAGGCCACGTGCTGGTATATCGGCATACTTGAGATGGGGCGCTATCTGCGATGCGAAGAGGCATGGCTGCCCGTTGGCGTGCTGCGCGCCACCACTGCTAAAGATCTTCAGGGAGGCTTCCCAGCCGCGGCCAGGGCGCTCCTGCGTTCCCTCCTGCTCGGGACCGACAGCGTGTCCGCGGCTGGAGTCAGCGTGTCGCGCGGTGGCCAACCAAGGATTATGCATTTTAAGTTTCAGCGTTTGATCGGGGGCGAAGTTGCGACGAAAGCTTTCTTCGATGCGAAAGGTTATGGCGGCATCGAGTGTTGTTCCATATCCTGCAAGAGCGTAGTGAAGCTGAACGCAGATGGCGTGACTGATTCGCTGG